GATCCTTGTTACTGGTTTTACAGGAAGTGAATTTCAAAAAAAGAAGAAGAAACAATCACCTACAGAGTCTGACTGAGATAAGAAGTGAATGGATGTTTGAATGCATGACCTAACATTTTCATAATGTCAAGCAACATATGAAAACAGTTTCCCTGCAGCGTGACGTCAGATTATTATAGGACAAAATACCATAACATCCTGAGTATGCCATACCCTTTTTTTTTTCTCATTCAAGACATGGGTAGTTGTACAGACGGGGGTGCAGATCAAACACTGTTGCCTGGGGCAGATTAGATCCAATTCCACTTTGTTGCAGAGGCCTGCATTTATTATCTGACATTTAGCGTACAGTAAAGTCAGACGTAGCCCTTGCAGAGGGGGCCTCTCAATTGGGGTCTCCTAAACCTATCAGCAGAGGAAGAAGGGAAAGGGGCGACTATAAGCAACAAGAGAGAGCCGAGAGCATCTGACTTCCATTGCCGAGCTCAGCCTGTGTGTTCCACTTAGCCAGCGGTATTCTGAGGAGAGGCGCTGCACTGCTACCAGAGCCCCATGACCAAACACTCATGATGTCATTGAGGTTCATCATCACACGCCGCAGATGATGCTGTGTCAGGATAAACTGGTTCCCACACTTGTTTGTGCTAATATGACCTTGAAAGTGTTAACATAGTGAGGTTTCTGGCAGACACATCAAGTGTGAGAGGAAGAAAAAGCGATAAATCAAATAGGGAACAAACAACTACGAGGTATTTATATTATAAAACATGTGAAATCATGAAAAGAGTCAGAAAATGTGAGGAAATCTCTCAGAGATGAGCCGAGGCTGAACAGCTGATATCTTCAGGCCCTCAGGCAAACACTGCACTAAATCAGACTCTGGAGTGAAAATCACAGCATGGTCTCAAAGATTACTTCAAAATTCCATTGTCTGTGAACACAGCTCATCTCTGCATCCAGTTAGACAGCCATGAATAAACAACAAATGCTGGCAACTGACATAGGCTCAAGCGCTTTTGAGACAAACTGTGGAAATCCTGGACTCTTCTTTTCTATTAAGAGGGGAGCGCTTATTTCAGAAGCCAGAATCTGTGATGGTATGGAGACTAGGGCTGGGCGATATGGCCTCAACTCAGTATCACAATATGTCGAACAGTTCACCTCAATAACGATAAATGGACGATAACTTCTTCAAAAGCTGCTCACCCCCTCCCACATAAACTTCATTGACTTCAGCCACTGCTCCAGCCGCTACAACTTTTGAACCGTCCTCCATCTCCTCACCTGTCTTTCCCTCTTTGTTATGGTCTGGATGGGGTGAAGTCACATTTCTGACATAGGAAAGCATCTTAAAGGGACATGAGACCATAGCCTACCTACACACATCCAAAACCATCCATCCATTTTATACCGCTTATTCCCATTGGGGGTCGCGGGGAGGCTGGAGCCTATCCCAGCATCTTTGGTCAAGGGCAGGGGACACCCTGGACAAGTCGCCAGTTCATCGCAGGGCTGACATAGTGAGACAAACAACCACCCACACTCACATTCACACCTACGGACAATTTGAAAGTGGCCCCACTTCTGCATGTTTTTGGGATGTGGGAGGAAACTGGTGTACCTGGAGTAAACCCACGCAGACACAGGGAGAACATGCAAACTCCACACAGACCCAGATTCGAACCCAGGACCTTCTTGCTGTGAGGCGACAGTGCTAACCACTATACCACTGTGCCGCTTCCATCCAAAACCAACTTTTATATATTTATTTTTTTGACACTGAATATACTGATATGGGCAAAACGGTTATTGTCGTAAATTTCTGTACCTGTAAATTTTTTACCAATTTTCGGTTTATCACCCAGCCCTAATGGAGACATCTAAGTGTCCATGGTAAGGATAGCTCACACATCTGACAAGGCATCATTAACTCTGAACAGAATTAACAGGCTTTAGAGAAATTATGCTGCAATCCAGACATTTCTTTATTCAGGGATTATGTCTGTATAACAACGACATGGGCCTATCACAACTTTTGACCCTTTTGGCCCAACATTTGGTGCACGATAAAACAGAAATCAGCTGGAATCCTTTATCAGGCAGGAATGTGACAACATTTGACTTTCAAAACTCCATAAACTGGTGTGTCCCTGTTTTCAAAACATTCATCATCAAGAAACTGTTGCTCAAATTTTACATGTTTTTATTTTTATATAACCAAATGTTTTTGTTTAAAGAATTGACATGTAGTCTTTGCAGCTATTGCACTTAAATACAGAGTTTAAACAATTCACAAAACCATTTAATTACAGCCTTTTTTATGAATGTACTGTTATTCAGCTTTGTTGGAATTGAGGTGATCCAAAAAAAAGAGGAAAAATAGGAACTTGACTCCTGTTGCCTTTGATTCTTTTTGCAGGAGATTTAAGACAAACGAAAAGCTTACATTTTTGGTGACAGCTCACATTTCCTCTCATTTAAAAAAAATGTGCCTGGAACTCCTCTGGTCGTCTTGTCTTTAATACTCACTGACTCAAAAGCTCAGTGTCTGTCTTTATAAGGGTATTTTAAGGTTACAGTATGAGTGGGTGTTTACTTCCAGATAGGCTCAACTGTGCTGCAACTCTTTCATATCGTAGCCAATCCACTTTTTAGGAACATCTGAGCACTTGGACTGAATTCTTCACTTAAGATAAGGAGAACAGGTAATCTGGTCCAAATAGGCCATCTGCTGTTCTCCCTGCCAATAACAGAGGCTAATAACATGCTGCATCCAATCAGATTGTACCAGAGTCAGCCCAGATAAAGGCAAAGCAATAAAATGAAACAATCTGCTGCTTTGACACTACAAGGAAGAGAGCTTGCTATTCGGCTGCTGGGCCGGGGGCAGGAATGTGCTCTTTGAACCAGCTTTATTTAACAGCGGAGCAGCATGCGCACAGCACGCCCTGAGTCTCCGAGCTGGCCCAGGGACCGTTTTCTCCTGGCGTGGGCACGTCAGACGTGGGGCCACCGGGTCAGGGAGCTGGCATCCTCACCCCTGGCACAAGTTGCTCCCCTCGGGGGCGTAGGGGCTGACACTGGGCTCATGGGGAGCACCAGACAGACAGGGGCCTACCAAACAGCTTGTGACCATAACCAACAGTGGCGGAGAACAATGAATGCAATTATTTACAAGAACACAGTCCAAGTCTCTTTTAGGCTGTCCCTATTACGCCTGTTTACTCCCACTCTCCTTTTGCAGGGCAGCATGGAGGGGCTTTGACCCTGTCGGTTCAGTCGTCAGCAGGACATTTTCAGAGTGCCCAGGGCTACCAGGCTATTCATGCTCCATCGCCATCAGGCCTGATCAGCGTCCAGCTGCAGCCTCTTTCCTACCAACTGCCCCTCTTTAAGGACAAGGGAAGACACATTACACACCATCTGAGTTCAGCTGAACTTTTTTAGAGTTTACAAAGACAAATAGAGAAATAAAAACATAGAACTTGAAATTAAATTAGGTTTTCGTTATGTGCAGCATTGAGGTAATGCGGAAAAGATCCACCTAGAGTGTGAACAGTAATATATTTGTGAATCATGACTTTCCTGCACCATTAGGAAGGAATCTGACTAACAAGCTTCTGTCTGCACGTGAATGAAAGTGGTGAGAAGGAGTACAGACCTGACTGAGAGCAAACCTTAATATTTAGCCTTACAACATGGAACCACCATGAGTCAAAAACTCATGTAATGGTTTTTAATAAGGTGGTTCATAATTTACTATAAGTAGTGCTTATGTCTAGGATCCACAGACAGAAAACACTGAAACCAGTAGCCAAACTAGTGACTGCTGTGACTGTAAATTCAGTTAGCAGACTAAAAACATACAGTTTCTTCTCAGTAAAAATAACATCACAGGGATCATGTTCTTGATGTTATTCATGTGTTATATCACATCCAATTGTGTCTTATCATAATATACCATATCTTATTAAATGGTATTTTTTAACTGTGTATTATTGAGTTAGTATTAACGACTAGGGATAAGGATCAATAACCTTTAAAATATTTTAAAAAGCACTTTTAAAAACCAAAAAATCAATGACCTATAAGCTTATCGAGTCTGTCATTGGGTCTTGAAGGTCTCATAAGTCCCATAGTAACATCATATGTAAAGTTGTGTCGCATAAATTAAATAAGTGATGCTCAATTATTAATAGAAAGTCCAATAAAGTTTTTGGCCAATGCACACCCATTTATGAATTGCAAAATAATTTCTTACAAGGGGGGAACACAACCTCCATGACCAAGCACATCAGTCAAAATGCAGAACCTTTGACTGTCTGCAGGTTGAGACAACTCTGTCAACTCTGGCTGCTGCGGCTGCCATCCTCCTCCGAAACACGGCCAGACTTAAGAGCAAGTCCAGTAACTTAAGAACCATGATCCAGCATTGAACTTGGAGTTGAAATCCACGTTAACATCAAAAGGATAAAAACTAATATGCACGATTACACTGTGAAGGGTTTAAGATCAGGTCAGTAAGACGAGAGTTAGGGAAAAGTAGATAAGTTAACATGATGTGTTCAAATCTCATGTCCCAAAAAAGAGAAAATGGGTTGAGGTGAAAAATCTGTAAAAACTAAAATTTTGTGAAATAAAACAATATAGATGCCGCAATACTAGAATTAATATCGATTAAAAATTAATGATTTCCATTCCTAATTATAACATAACATAACGTCACGACACGTCACGTCACGTGAGCCATCCTGACTCATCAGTCATTACCCAGAATGTGTTCCTATTTCATCTCCCGACTTCTGATAAATCCTTACATCATGGGAATTTAGTTGCTAGCTATCACAACTCCTGTTCACCTGGACATTTTCCTCTTCCTCTTTATGTTTAGTTACATCTTTGTTGTCATGTTCTTGGTAGTGTTATTGACTGATATTTTTCGGAAGACATAAGCAGACCGAAAAAAGATCGATAACAAGCCGCAGTTCTCATGGTCTAACGAGAGGAGATCATATCAACGCCCCCTTTTTTGTTATATTCCAGTACCTTTCTTTAGGTGCGCAGGTGTACCACTCATGTTATCTGTTCACATTTATGACCGTGAAACAGAGTATTTTGATACACTGTAATCTTTTAGCATCCATGTTGCCTTGCATTTCAATGGTGTTCATTTACCTCTTGAAAGCAGTCTTTCCTCTAACAGACTTCACGACACAACTTCATGACTTCCATTCATCAGCAAGATGAACATTTTGTTTGATTACGCAGTGCAACATCACCAGTTCAGGGTATCTTTTCTGTGAGAAACAAGAGGAAGTGTACATCTCCTGCTCTAATGTCTTAATTGTGGCGGAATGGAACAAGATGGCTGCCTCGTCCTCTTCGTCCTGAACCAACTCCAGCTGAGCAAACAGCGCACACTCAGTTTCGGAAGCAACAGAACAATAGATATAGCAAAGATCATTTAAGAAGTGAACAATCTAACTGTACATGGAAACGCCAGAGCGTACACACACAGACAAACACAGACACGCTTTCACACAAACAGTAGATACAGTCAGCTCCGTTTTACTTTTCCCCTGTGGCTCTTGGCTGTGGCCCTTTAGGAGCCTCCAGATGAAGAGAGCATGGAGTGTGGCAGAGGGTCCTTCCATAAACAATAAACAACAGTTATCTTGTGTGCGGCCGTCTGTGTCAAGAGGCGCACCAAGCCAAGCCCGGCATCTGAGAGGCGTCTGCTCTTCTTTCCGCCTTTGCTCTTGTCTCTTTCAATGGCTTCGAAAAGTGTGGATGTGTGTGTACGCCCAAAAGTGTGTGTCTGTGTTTACAGAACAGCACAGGCCTCCTCTGTATTGTATTCTGAAGCTGGCTGCAAGTAAAAAGGCAGAATTAAGAGAGGTGGGGGTGGGAGAAAGGGGGCTGCCAGCACACTGCAGAACTGTAGGGAGCTCCCCCAGATCCCAGCTGCCCAGGACTGACTGAGAGCGTCAGGAGAGTGCCAGGCTTCCTTGGCCCTCATGGAGGTGGGCCAGAGCGAGTGGGAGGAGTGGGAGGTTCATGTCAGAATAAAATGCCAAAAATAATGTCTGGGCCTATATAAAGAGGGCTTTGGAAGACACACAATGCTGACATACACAAGAAAACTCAATCAGCTCAGTGTTACACATTCTCATCTTTGTACAGAGAATAAAACAGAGCTTTCAAACAATAATTGGTTACATAAGGTGTTCATAATTTATGAAGTAGTGGATCCAAAGAACTTTCTGGGTTACTCAAGGGGAATGGTCTTCTAGTATTGGTGGCCTGAATGCCTCTCATTCTCCTCAGAGGCTGGCAACACAGTGGAAAACAAAGTTTATCTGGAACTGTTTAATGCATTATTTGTCTAACAATCAAGGAAGCGAGTTTATTTTGCAGATAATTATAGCTTTTGTTGCGTCGATGGCCAAGATAAGCCAGAGTTCCGAACCATTAACCGGTTGTGCTTTTTCTGGCAAACGCCAGCAGTGAGTTTGTAATGCAGAGCCCATTGTAGGAGAGCTGGCAGCGAGCTGAGAGCTCCTCCACTGGGGTGTAGGACTCCTTCCACTGTACAATGCTAATCAATCAATCAGTCCACCAGTTAAGTCTATGAATGAAGTATTGCATTTTAGCGCTGGACTTAATTGTTCATAAATTAAACACAAGATATTTATCACCACATCAGTTCCCACCCTCCTATCTCTTGATCCACTCACATCAAATGACTTAACTCAATGAAAAATGGAGGCCATTAACTATACAATATTCAAACCATATGTTAAACCTAAGTCTGATCTTACTCCCCCCATACATACACACACACACACACACACACACACACACACTGAGGGGAGTAATGCTGACAACCCTCCAAACTGGAATGTGGGCTCTGAGAGTTAAAGCTCCACTGTAGGCAGCCATTACTGCTCAGAGCAGGAGTGTTTGGAAATCCCCTTACTGGTCTAGACACTTCTGCCCTCTGAACTGACCCAGGAACTGGCCGGGGCGCTAATCATGGCGCTTGGCAGACAGCAGCATTTTTCCATAGGTCCTCAGAGAAAGCTCTTCCTCTGCAGAGGCAGGTAATCACAACAAGAGCACATCCCGTCCGGCGGCACGCCTGCTTGAACAACTCCATGAGGAGTTAGGAAACTATTTCTGAGCTTCTGGCAGAAACAAATTACCCTGTGACACCCTGCATGACAGACTGACTGCTGGCTAGGGAGCGAACATAGGTGGCAATCACCACTGTGGAGCTCCATCCTGAGGCAAGTGACAGGAAGTGACATCAACAGTGACATGAGAGAAAGCCATTAATATCTAAATGCACCATCAGGGTAATTGCAGTATGAAACTGCATTGACATTTAAGGTTACCCCAGGTTAAAATCTGCACCATAAGTGGAAAAATAAGAATTATATTTCAGCTTTGGGTGTGATTGATCCACTTTTGTTTCCTGCCCTACACATTCAAAGCATCACCTCCAACCACCAGGTTTGTTTCCTGTGTCACAGTCCTGACGTCAGCTCTCTGTTTTCCACAGCTGAACCTTTTCCTTTGGACACCTGGACTTTCATTAGTCATGTCCAGAGAGGCCAGTGTGATGCACCTCCGCTTATATTTATCACAGGCTTGTTCTTTCTGACATCTTGTCACTGCTATGATAGATACAATGGCTACAGACTAATGAAGATATCATGACCACCTCTCCTAGGTCAATCAGGCTGATCAGCCATCGAGTTTTTAAAATTACAATCAATCACAAAATTTCACTTCGGAAATGCTGTTAGTCACATTTTTAAATGGATGTTTAAATTCTAACATTTTGCATTTTGAAAATGATTCTTGGTAAATTTTTGAGCTTTTGACGTTTTAATTTTGCTTTCACTTTTCCCGTCAAGCGAGGTTTGTGAAAGTTTTTCCAAAGAGAAACTTGCTATTCGAACGTCTAGAAGGATTATTTTGTTTACAGCAGCAGCAGCAGGAAGTAGGAAGACTGCAGCAGCTGAACTATCCAGAAAGAACAACATAAAAAAAATAATTTTAGACCAGAACCGCATCCATTAATGGTGTAAGTTTACCATAGCATTGCATCAAATTTCACTAAAACTTGCTTTAAAATTATAGAAAGAAAGAAATCTGTGCCCAAGTGCCAGCCTGTTTTTCTCACTGATCACTCCCTTACTCCCTTTGTTTGGCCTCATTAAATGAAGATGTCAGCAAAGCTTAACAGAAGTTGTTTATTTCACAATAAAGAGCTTCAACATCAGTTGATTTTACACCCACTGCCAACAGTTCCCACGGGCTAAACAGGAGGTCCCAATTTGTGTGGCCACCACGTAGTTTGGTGACATAAATATGGAAAACATGGTGAAATTTTAGGCCACAGCACTTTCCTCCACTCAAGGACTCTGTGTGATCAGAGTGATAAATGTATAAAAAGCTCCAACCAAAGGGAAAAGCTTATCCAATCCCAAGCTGACCTCACGGATATACAGAAATAAATCCAAGTGCAAGTGTCTGAGGAGGGCCTGATTGCAGATCTGTCATGCACACATGCATAGTCACACACTCTTGGGGGTGGCATATGTACACACGGTTTCCTCTTAAAGGACACGTGCTTTAGCCGCCATTTAAACCAAGCGTCAGAGCTGGAAAAATTAACATAGATGACTTACACTGAGAGCTTGGAAAAGCCAGGTTTCCTCAGTCCAGACAGGTCCATGTGGGTGATGCCATGCAGGTGAACCTGAACAAAGCATTTGGTCCCAATGGGGCTGCCATGCTTATAGGTGCTGTCTTTTTTCGTCTTTTCTCTCGCCTTTTTGGTTGATTTTAAATTCATTTTCCTGTTGGAAATAACAAAGAAAGGTAATTTAGAATGAACATAAACCATCACTATCATTTTATTTCTGCTCATGTTTAGCACATGCTTGCAACACTTGATTGTTTCAGTTGTGTTTTCCTCAGCCCAGTGGACTTCTGCTGCACACAGAGATCTTGAGTTCTCTAGCCAGACCCACCAGGCCTAGCCCACCCTGGCCTTGGCACTGGCATAGCCAAGTGGACAATTATTATCTACCTCACTGCCCTTGCTAGCAAGCTGACGGGGTGGGCAGCATTTGTCTGGCCAGAGTATTGAGTATCTGTGTGCCTGTGGAGGGTCAATGAGTGCATCTCCATCCCCTCTTCCAAAGAATCAGGCTCATCTGGAATATGTCTGATGCTGAAGTCTGGTAAGTATGGCTACTCTTAAACATGATTAACGTTCAGTTGTTACTAGGTAAGCGAAAACCCAGCTCTTTTATCACCTAGAAAGAGATATTCACACTGTGGCAAAGAGTGCAGGAAACCCCACTCTAACTGACTGAGGCTGTGGTGTGAGTCATCCTGGGATCTTCTGATATTGTGGTCTCAACCAAATCCTACTCTACTACTCCTCTCACTGCTGTCAGTTTTCTTTTTTTTTTACCCATAGACTGTCACAACTGCCGCTGTCATTATTTTATCATTCTGTCATTTGACTGATATTGTTATGATTGTAAGATTTCCTTACATGATGCGATGATAGTGTCACTGTGAATATTTTGCCCACATTGTGACTGACCCGGCATTTATATTGACTGTGAAGTGAAAAGAGGTGCTACACTCCTTCCTTGACATGCCAATGTGAAAAGTGCTTTTACCGCTGTAAGTTAAAGATCACTGACTAGCAGAGATTCAGCTGCTTTCAGTTTGACAAGCTCCAGCAGCATCATCACATATCTTTAGGACTCCACTACAAGCAACTAACCAGTAAGTAAGTAAGTAATGTACTACCTTCCATATGACTCAACTCTGACCTTATACAAGAACCATCATCATCTAGCCTGCTGCTTCCTGCAGACCTTTCTGACTCAGAACGTGGTGCTGAGGATAGAGTCGGAGCCAACAGCAGTGAGAACAATAAAGAGCAGATAATGATAGATATGGCCTGTGACACAGATGGGTCAGGACTGATTTAGACAGACAGTCTAAAATTGTTTGGTTGAAGGGCGCTGTCTTGAGGGGAACGGGACTGGAGGATCAAAGAGGAGCACTTATGGACTTACATTATAGCCTACAGATGGTGCAAAGTGCTGTTTTGGTGTGTGGATGCAGATGGCTGTATACAATAATTCATACTCTCAGTCATAAGTGGAAATGCTTTTTTTTTTTTCAAATCTATTTATAAAGGAGGGGTGTTTTGTATGACATGTAACCTTATGTGCCCTTTGACTCTTTCAATCCACTCATGCCAAGATGGCAGCTTTTGCAGCCCCTTTGAACAAACTTTGTGATGTATTAATAGTAAATTAAGACAGCTGCACATACAGTGTTTGTTGGTAAGAAAAGTATGTCCTTTCTTTTGCATGCAGGCAGCTCTGTTTATATTTCTGTTGCCATGTGCTTCATCACATACTGCTGACAATCTGATTACTTGTAGGTCAGTACATTCAATACCTATGTGACTGCTGCTAAAACTGCCAGAAAAACTGAACGAGTTTATCGGTGCCAGGCTCATTCAACAAGGTAAAACTGTGGTAATCTGTGAGCGTTTGAAGAGCAGACATGCTCCAAATCTCTCTTTTAAAGAAATGTGTTCATTTTCAGCCCTTCACTTTAAAACCCTGAGAACACTCCATCTATTCTCACCTTATTGTCTTTTTTTCTTCTTTCTCTTCTTCTACACAGAAGAGAGTTTTGAAGGTAAAGGACTAAAAATGTTAATCCAAGTAGAAATCACACAGCATGACTTCGATATTGGTTGAAGTCATGCTGAAGTCACAATATCTTGTGTTGGTCACAGTTGCTCTACTCAGTTGCTGTTTAGTTGTTCAAGCTTTAAAAGTGAAGTCAATTCATATATTTCTGTTAACTATAACAGTAACTGTCTTTAAGGTAAGCTAAACATTATGTTTATAGAATTCATACAGAGAACTATTCACAAAGTTTTGACATATTCATATTTACATATTTACAAGCTTAAATGCTTTTCTCTACAGCTGCGAAAGTGTGAGGGTGAGCAGATTATAAAGAGGTTCATTCGCATTGATATTGAGCTCCTAGCCTCTGATTGGTCAGTGTTATGACATGTGATCAGGGTTGTCCAGGATGTTATGTTACGTTGTGGTTATGGCAAGATGGCTGAGCAGTAAAAGTGCTGCTAAGAAAGTTATCCATCTCCATCCTGCTGGTTCTCATCATTAGAGTGATCCAACCACCTTACATCAAACCTTCATGTTACAGATGTTTGATTTTTCTTTAAATTTTCCCACACTAATGACAAGCCATGACCAGCAAAGTACACTTTACCCGTGTTGTAGCAGTGTTTTCTTTGCAGGGTTGAGGGTCAAATGGTCCCAGACATTTGAAGTCTTAGGATAGCGACTGCTGCTGTTTTGTGATGTTTTGTCGACCTGACTTTCTCTTGTGTGTGCAAATCTCAGTAGAGGTAGAAAGGATGCAACACCCCTCAACAACTCAGCTCTAGAAAATGATTCCAAAGTTATATTTTTGTGACAAAACCAACACAATTAAATCAGTCTGAAACTTAATTCACCATTTTTGTCAACTAATCATAGTTATACGTAGATTTTCAGAGGTTTGTACCCTAGAGTAGTCGAGGAGTGGGCAGCCTGAAACCTGCATTTATCTTAGTGACATACAACAGACTAAACTGTGCAGATGCTCAAAGGTATTGCAACCTTCAATTATGAAACACACACGCACATACGCACACACACACGCACATACTTGCATACATATATAAAAAGAGGTAAAAAAACAGGCAAACCACAACATGGAGTACACCCACCCATCTACAAATTCATCCATCATTCTTGTCTCTGATGCAGATGAAAGCAACAGCCAGACAGAGGGATGAGGAGGTCTTTTTATTCACAAAACCCTCGCACTTTCTAGATATTTCAGCCCAGATATATTCAAACAACTTAACCCTATGACTCAACTATGTCATTACCCAGATAGTTGTAATATAAAACATGAAAGTAGTAGTCATACATAAAACCAGGCTGATTTCCCAATATCACTCAGGCTGTACGGATTCAGCCATTCATTGTCACATGTGCATTCCACTCAAATGCTATCCGAAAATGTGTTGCATGTGTTGAAGAGGATATCTGGATACTGACATGTGGACTAACATTGTTCCATCCACTTAATTTTGTAGATAAATTGACAAACTGCTTAAATTCAGGGAGTGTAATGCTAAAGCTCCTTCTGTCCCTTTATAAGTTCAGCTCAGGGCAGGAAATCATGTTAGATTTTTGGGGGGAACAGAAGGAACAAAATGTGAATATCCACAAATTGGAAAACACTTTGTAATATGATTTATTTAACTGTAATCTCATGATGGCAACTGGAAAACACATAGGGAAAACAAACATCATGAAGGCCTAAATAGTATCTAAAATCCATGGAGAAAAAAAAGCACCCTGATAACCCTTTCTGTCTCCTACCACAATCATGAAAATCTGAAACTTCAAAATTTGGAACAGTGCCGCTCTCTCAAAGTCCAAACGATCACTTGTCTCAGTTTGGATGTGATCCTAGAAGTTTTTGACACCAATGTCAAGGAGACAGGCAGGCTCATTCAGACAAATTCGCTCCTTCCTGGCTCAGCTCGCTTTTTCTCACAAGATCCAGTACATTCATATCCATACAGTGGTCAACAACAACACATGGGGATCAGGGAAGAAAAAAGCCTGTGATTCACAAGCTGCAAAAGGTTTTTCATTATATTCTAGCTTTTCTTTTTAAACAATTCATGTAAAATGTCTGTAAAATATCTCACACAGCAGCTCTTCATTCAGAAATTTCTTGACACACTAAACTCTACATATTACTGAGGCTATTTGTAAACCAGTTTAAATGTTTTTTTAACATTGTTTAAGACTTTGAACATTCTCATAGATGAAGAGTAGTTGTGATGGACTTCTCTCCTCCACATTACTCCTAATGCGTGGTGCACCCCAAGGGTCAATCACAGGCCTGTTCTTGTTTCCCATCTAAATGTGTTGGCAGTATAAAGACGAAGACGCTCAAGTCAGCTTGCCAGAATAGTTGGAAGTGACAAAACGCAATCAGTTTATCAGGTTACAACCCCTTATGGGAACATTGCAGGCATTTGTAAAGAGTGTCCACTGCAGCGAGCTGAAGCTGGAAACAGTATTCCTTAACTGTGAATGGAGTCGTGAACTAAACAGTGTAGAGCGTTATGTTTTTATTCATCCACCTCTCCATTATGCTCTACTGATAAAGGGGAGCTTGGTTTCTTTTAAAACTTGTATTAGAACTCAACCGTGCCTTGCGGACCTAAACAAACCAGTGGCCGCCATTTTGGCGAAACGTGCAATACATCTAATCAACATCTGTCATATTTCCGAAAAAACCACTCAACACTGCAAAGACTAAATGAAGTGTCCTCAAAGCTGATTTGGAAAACC